AGGTCCTGCCCGACGAAGGAGAGGGCAAGGGCTGGCTGGTTGGCAGCCAAGGTCCTGCTCGACATAGCTTCTGCTCGACGAAGGAGAGGATAAAGGTTGGCTGGTTGGCAGCCAAGGTCCTACCCGATGAAGGAGAGGACAAAGGCTGGTTCGTTGGCAGCCAAGGTCCTGCTCGACGAAGGAGAGGATAAAGGTTGGCTGGTTGGCAGCCAAGATCTTGCCCGACGAAGGAGAGGGCAAGGGCTGGCTAGTTGGCAGCCAAGGTCCTGCTCGATAGAGATTCTGCTCAACGAAGGAGAGGATAAAGGTTGGTTGGTTGACAGCAAAGGTCCTGCCCGACGAAGGAGAGGGAAAGGGCTGGCTAGTTGGCAGCCAAGGTCCTGCTCGATGAAGGAGAGGACAAATGCTGGCTGGTTAGCAGCCAAGGTTTTGCTCAACGAAGGAGAGGACAAAGGCTGGCTGGTTGGCAGCCAAGTTTTTGCTCGACGAAGGAGAGGACAAAGGCTAACTGGTTGGCACCCAAGGTTTTGCTCAACAGAGCTTCTGCTCGATGAAGGAGAGGATAAAGGTTGGTTGGTTGGCAGCCAAGGTCCTGCCCGACAAAGGAGAGGGCAAGGGCTGGCTGGTTGGCAGCCAAGGTCCCGCTCGACGAAGGAGAGGACAAAGGCTGACTGGTTGGCAGCCAAGGTCCTCCTCAACGAAGGAGAGGATAAAGGAGAGGACAAAGGTTGGTTGGAAGCCAAGGTCCTACTCGATGAAGGAGAGGACAAAGGCTGGTTGGTTGGCAGCCAAGGTCCTGCTCGATAGAGCTTCCGCTCGACGAAGGAGAGGATAAAGGTTGGCTTGTTGGCAGCCAAGGTCCTGCCCGACGAATGAGAGGGCAAGGGCTGGCTGGTTGGCAGCCAAGGTCCTGCTTGACGAAGGAGAGGATAAAGGTTGGCTGGTTGGCAGCCAAGGTCCTGCTTGACAGAGCTTCTGCTCGACGAAGGAGAGGACAAAGGTTGGCTGGTTGGCAGTCAAGGACCTGCTCGACAGAGCTTTTACTTGATGAAGGAGAGGACAAAGGCTGGCTGATTGGCAGCCAAGGTCCTGCTCAACGAAGGAGAGGATAAAGGTTGGCTGTTTGGCAGCCAAGGTCCTGCCCGACGAAGGAGAGGGCAGGGAATGGCTAGTTGGGAGCCAAGGTCCTGCTCGACAGCTGGGGGTTGTGCTTGTTTATTGTAACATTTTGACTTCTGGGCTTGTGTCCGTATTATGGAATTTTGTTTAAGTGTGCGCTTTATCTTGTTTCTGCATGGTGTTATGCTCGTTTTATTTCTGCATTTTTTTATGCTCGAAATATATGTTTGTATGTTTGAAATGCATGTTCGTTATGCCTTTGGGCCTGTCCGAGGTGGTAGCTCGATGATAATTGTTTCCGGTAGTGTGGAGAACTGGTCGGTTGACCGGTTTCGTTACCTGGCCGTTTCGGGGGTAGTTTATCCTTGCGGCGTGAACGTCCCATCACGAGCTGGGTATCCTGCCGATTCTGGTACAACGACGGGGAGTCTCGATTGGGGGATTCTTCGTCGAGCAGAGCCTTCTGCCCGCGCATACAAAGGCAGGGCTTGGTGTTTTGTTGGTATCTAGAAGACGCGAGGAGGTGCGGCGGTACCATGTCGCCCCCCTGTGGTCGCGACGCCTGGGCGTCGCGGGCAGTGTTTAACTGTAGTACCTTTTCAGCTTCTCGGCGTTCCATGGTCGAGCTAGTTGATCCCCGTGTAGGTTTTCGAGGTAGTAGGCCCCGTGCTCCGTCTTGCCCCGTGAAGACAGGACTCTGCTCGACGAAGGAGAGGACAAAGGCTGGCTGGTTGGCAGCCATGGTCCTGCCCGACGGGTCTTCTGCCCGACGAAGGAGGGGAAAGGGCTGGCTGGTTGGCAGCCAAGGTTCTGCCCGACGGGTCTTCTGATCGACGAAGGAGGGGCAAGGGCTGGCTGGTTGGCAGCCAAGGTCCTGCTCAACAGAGCTTCTTCCCGACGAAGGAGGGGCAAGGGCTGACTGGTTGGCAGCCAAGGTTCTGCTCAACAGAGCTTCTGCCCGACGAAGGAGAGGGCAAGGGCTGGCTGGTTGGCAGCGAGGGTCCTGCCCCTCTTCGCGAAGTTGAGATGTCCCCACCTGACTGTCGCCGTTGGTGATGGGGACGTGGTCGGAATTGTGAACAACATCGTCATGGCGTGGGCTAGTCCTGATCCTGAAGTTTTGAGAGATGAAGCTTTGGTTCTCTGTTCGGAGAAACGGGGAAGCGTAGTCCCCACAGTCGGCGCCAATGATCTGACCTGATCAGAAGGGGACCAAGGACTTGCCACACGCCGTTGATCTGCTGCCTGTTCACTGGTGTTGGGGAAAGGAGATGGGGGGTGTACCTGCAAGGCACTCCGATGCCAAAGTAAGTGTTTGGACAGAGTGATAGCAAATACAGAAAAGGGGTAAGAAGTGAATACCTGACCCTCTTGGAGAAGAGGGTATTTATAGAGAGACCCCAGCGCAGGGCCAACTGTCATTTGAGTTGGGCTGGATGGCCAGACCCAACCCAAGTGACTGTTAGGGCTTACGTGGCGTAGTGAAGACCAGAACGTGGTCTTCTCCCTAGTTCATCTGCTCCGTGAACTCCGAAAAGTGGGTTGACTTGCTCTTTCGGAGGTGGGCAGTTGGTGGATGACGTGTCCCCATGGAGGGGGGCACGTGGAGAACATGTGGAGGGCACGTTATTCAACCCGACGGAGGGAAGGTTTTGCCCGACAGGGGCAGTGTCTGGCCGACGGGGAGTCTTCTGTTCGACACAGATGAGGAAGGTTCTGCCCGACGGGGCAGTGTCTGGTCGACGAGGAGTCTTGTGCTCGACACAGATGAGGAAGTCTCCTTTGGGCCTTCCCCCAAGTGTATGTGGGTTGGGCCTTCTCGGTCAGGCCGGGGCCCAGGCCATAACAGAAACCTTTATGTAGGTTTGTATTAATGATATCATTATTAAATCTTCACAGAAAAATGGTCATTTAGACCATCTTCGACAATCACTATGTAATTCACAAGGTTACAACCTTTGATAAAACATACATTTTCACCAAGTATTTCAACTATTCTCACTAGTTATTGTAATTTTTTTTACTAAGTATTACAACTATTCAAATTAAAAAAATAATGAACTAGAGTAATGACCACAACCACGTGTGGCGGCTTACAGTCATACCGCCTCCGCACACGCTACGAGTAGCTGGATTGTTCTGATGTGTCATGCTCAAATGCTACATACAAGCTGACACTACGCCTATACGCACATGCACGACCGTCTTTGAGGGCGTGTCAGGCGAGCTATCTCACAAGGGCTCACATATTTCAAAATTAAACTATATCTAAATGGATTCTCATAAAATATTTGTCAGATTAAATTGTGATTAAATAGGGTCTCTATTTATTTTGCTCTTGTTAAATTGTGGCTAACTTACACAGGACCTCCAAAAACTTGAGACGACTCTGCGCCCATGTCTCTAGCGCGTCTGTCGCCAATACTAACGAGTGTGAAGATGACAAACGGCTTAAAAACTTAAGACCGAAACACTAATTCATGTGACACTCTCTCATCTTTAACTCCCTAATGAGTTAATAAATACCAATATATATATATATATATATATATATATATATATATATATATATATATATATATATATATATATATATATATATATATATATATATATATATATATATATATATATATATATATATATATATATATATATATATATGTATGTATGTATTACAACTATTCGAATTTAAAAATAATAAACTAGAGTAACGACCACTACAACATCTAACGGTTTACAATCAAATCGACTCCATATATATCGTGAGTAGTTCGATTGTTCTGATGCATCGTACTCAAATGTCATCTACAAACTAACACTAACGCTTATACGTCCATGCGCCCCGACGCCAATGTCGCCAATACCAATAAGTGTGAAGGTAAAAAGTAATATAAAGACTTGGAACTACCACGACCCTCTCTTCTTTTTAACTCTCTAATAAATTAATAAATACAACTATATATAAAAGTTAAACTATCATTGTGGAATTCTTTCCTACACATTACACATTCTGTTTATTTACTAACTTAAAAGGTTCATATTATATATTTGAATATAATAATAGCTATGCATTTAATGAATCTTCTCATTAATTAATAATTACACCATTATAAACATACTAAAAATTAAGTAGCATAATTCTATTTTTAAATGGAAGAATAAAAGAGTAAAGTAAAAGTACTAATGACATCACATCACATCAAAGACTTAAAATGAAAAAGTTGACCCACTCATCAATCATATTTGATATAGAATATATTATCATGAATTTGATTCGATTGCGAATTAAGTATTGCCTACCTTTGATTCCATTACTTTTTCTTTCAATCCAATTTCAATCTACTTTCTTGCTGTTCATAAGTACTATAGATTAATAGTAAAATATCATATAAAATTCAAAAATTTATAATTAATCATAAAATGGTACATAGTATACTATTATTTTTATTAGATACGATTAATAATAACCATTAAAAATTTAGATATATAATTCAGAAATTCAATTCAAATTTTGATGATGACTTACAACATAGCAAAATCAATATTAATAATAAACTTCTTCTTCATTTTTTTAATTAAAATTCTGATATACTTGAAATTGATGCCAATCATAAAAATATTATTTAGAAGATATATTTGTTTTGTGTCTGCTTGTGACTATCACATTATGGATAACTGAGGAATGGGAAGGAAAAAAACAAACAACATCCACAAAATTCAGGATAAGGTGACCATACATTCTCAAAGGAGTAAAAGATAAACTGAAGAACTTCATCATGAAAAGCACTGAAATAACTAAGCTAAAATATTCATCATACATACAAAATCAAAATGAACATTACAAATGCAAAGAAAAAAAATGGTGTGCATGCATGTAGTCAAGCTCCTTTGAAGATGAGAAAATGAAGAGTCTCAAGAGTAAAGTATATGAAAGTTCCCTTAGAATGAGTGAAAAAACATCCAAAACTTGAACCTACCACACATTGCCATCCACAACCATATCTTGTATCAAACTCCTATAATAAATAATTCAAACAAAAAAAACAACAACATTAGAACTTTTTTGTTTTTTTGGACAGAACAAGTTCATGGTATTGTGTGTGTACCTTTTTAATGTGAGCAGCAATGGATTCGCAATCAACAACATCATAAAGATCAAGAGCTTGAGAAGCATAAGACATGGCTTGAATCTGCATCTTACTTGGCATGTCTGTGTCATCTACCATAGCTTTACCTTCCAACATCTTTCAACAACTTCTTGCTACTTAACCTTCAAATAATTAAGATCTAAACATTGATATATATAGATTTTTATTTTTCTTTCTATTTTGAGGGATAAAGAGTCATGATTTCACTCCTAGTGTTAGTGTTTTTATTTCTTCTTTTGTTAGAGTTTTAGCCTTTTTATATTGATGGATTATGTAGAACTCTCTCATACTTTTCGTCATGGTCGATGTCGTGACTTATTTTTGTCTTTACGAGGAAATTGATGTCCAAATTCAAAGGAACTAACTAGATTAGATAAAGCTGCTGAGGCCAAAAATAAAAGAAAAAGTTTAATTGATACAGTATAATTTTTTTACAAAAATATGAAAGTTTTTTTATTGTACGTTTTATTATATTTTCTTTAGTATTATATTTTTTTAATATTTTATTGAATAAACTAAATTTTAAAGTAAAAAACGAGTGACGTAGCATAAGCAAAAGCGCGGTGAGTTCATAATTCAAGGGTCAAAAATAGAAATATAAATAGATATTTATTGGGATGGATACTATGATATCCGGATCTATTCTATTAGATAAATATGATATTCATATTTGTCACATATTCATGCGGGTATTTGTTAAGCGGGTAATTCGCGGGTTTTATAATATCTGCGGATATTTTCAGATATTCATAGATAATATTTTTTTTTATAAAAAATATTTTTAACTTCTTTTAAAGATACAAAAGGTTATTATCATATAACATCCATAAAGTTCGCTCTTAATTTAACAATAAAATTTTATCACATTAATTTTCTTCTTATTCACCAAAACATAATTAGATCCAAATATAATATTCATATATTTCATTTTTAACCAAACAAATAAAAGATATTATGATTGTGAGTTATGATGGAAGAGCGGATAATAGAGGAGTAGGAAGGGAGACACTGGTTCGATAGAGGAATGACGACACTAGTTGGTTGGACTGTGAAATTGTTGAAGTGAGGTATGAAGTATTGAAGAGTTTAAATATGAAATAACTAATAGAATTTGAATGAAATGTGAAAGGTTTTCTTCAAATAAAATTTTAATAAAAAGAAAGAAATATATGAAGACTAATTTTTTTTTAGAAGATGAAAAGATAAGGTATATTAAAAGATAAGATATATTAAAATAATGGTATTTAAATGATTTTTATAATTTATTAGCGGATATGAATATCGGCGGGTACATATCATTAAAACCGTATCCATATCTATATAAACGAGTATTTAAATATCCATTTATTTTATCCGTGGATATCCATTAAGCTATCTGCCCCATGTCCGTGACAAATTTTATCCGCGGGTATGAATTTTTTTTTGTCATCCCTAGTCCGAAAGATCAAAATTCAAAATCTAACTATGTTAAAGTTATATTATTCACAATTAAACGTTTGATTCTATTTTGGGCCAAAATTTGGGCCTGTCTTCAAAAAGTCTTGAGAATTTTTTAAACCACCATATATATTTCTTAGACACCACGCATATTTCTTATAATATCCCTAGTTTCCAAAGATATATCTCTGGACGCACCCTTTTCACACTCAAGGAAGGTCATTCTGAATGGCGCCCCATACAGTTGTTAAAGATTTATTCCGGAGATATATCTCCGAAACTATTTAGAGAAAACATAAAAATTAATCAGTCCAGTGGATGTTTCGAAAATATATCTCCGGAAGATGTGAGCGGCAATTTGAATTTTTCTGTCACCTTTGCATGTCAGGTTGTTCCTGAGATATATCTCCGAAAGTATCTGATATAGTTTCAAGTTGCATGATTAGTCCCCTCATTGTTGTCATTCTTCATTTAAACTCTAACCCCTATCCTAAAAACCCTACATTCTCAATCTTATTTTTCACTTCAAATCTCTATTCTTTTGGTTCAACATATCACAAGGAGCAAAAGAAGATCAAATTTTATGTAAAGATTGTTCATTCTATTCTTCAATGATCATATTAATCATGAAACTTTACTGAAAAAAACTTACGCAGTGTCTGGAGATGTATCTCCGAAACGTGTTGAACATGAACTATTCCAGACTTATATTTCTGTAATGCTTCTATGTTCATTCTCCTTCCTTTTCTGCAGCAGTAGGTTAATTATGTTTACTATTTTTATTGTTCCCAATTAATATGGTGCACCCCGACAATATCTCAAAACTAGTAGTTTCTTCGAATGTTCAAGGGATTGTTGTTAATGCGGTAGATGTTCGAAATAAATTTAATAACAAGCAAGAGTTTGAAAATTGTGATAACGTGCTCGAATGGATTCGTATGGTGGCATCTAGACTTGGATTTGGTGTGGTTATTGGAAGGTCGGATAATGACTCGGATAGAAGAAGCGCCTTTTTGACTATGTTGTGCGAAAGAAGTAGGAAATATCGAACTCCTCTTCGAAAATTTAAGAGAGAAGACACGGGTAGTAGAAAATGTGATTGTTCATTTAAGCTTCGTGGTTACATGTTGGCTAGCAAAAAATGGAGATTTAATGTCATTTGTGTTGTGCATAACCATAAATTATGCTTAAAATTAGCTAGACATCCTAGTGTATGTCAGTTCAAGCCGAAAGAGAAGATATGTATTAGTGACATGACCTTGAATCTTGTCCAACCGAAAAATATACTTGCAACACTGAAACAGAAGCAAGCCAAAAATATATCAAACATCAAGCAAGTGTATAACATTTCTAACAAGGCGATTAGGGGAGATAAAACTGAGATGCAACAACTGTTGAAACTCTTGGACGATAACAATTACGTGTCCCGGTACCGAACTTGCGATGATGAAGTTACAGTTAGAGATATTTTTGGACTCATTCGGATTCAGTAAAGTTGTTCAACACGTTTCCGACAATGCTCATACTTGATTCTACCTATAAGACCAACAAGTATAGACTTCCATTATTTGAGATGGTTGGTGTTACCTCAACTGAGAAGTCATACTTCGTTGGTTTTTCATTTTTAGAGTGCAAAAAAGAGGACAACTTTACTTGGGAATTAGAGGTATGTCGTTCACTTTTGAAGGATCAATGTGAGATGCCTAAAGTTATTGTTACGGACTGCGATACCACATTGATGAATATGGTTGCAAAGGTGTTTCCTTCTTCTTAAGCATTACTTTGTAAGTATCACATAACAAAAAATGTGAGAAGTCGGGTTAAACCCGCGGTAGGGACGAAACAAGTAGAGTCCGAAGGTGGAAAATTGGTGAAGTCGGGTGTGATTATGGAGAAAATAATGGATGCATGGAATCGCATAATAAATTCTTCCGCAAAAGAATTATATGTTGATTCCATTATTTATTTCTAGAAAGTGTGTGAAAAGTATCTAGCTTTGTTAAAATACGTTGAAAGTACCATTCTTGATCAGATGAAGGAGAAGATAGTTTGTGCGTGGACTGATAATGCCCGACACCTTAGAAATACAACCACCAACAGAGTTGAGTCGATCCATACTACTTTGAAAAATTGGTTGGGAAATAGAAAAGGGGATTTTTGTCGAGATTGAGATTTGGTGAACTACATGATTCAAAAAATTTCTCGGGAGGGGTTGAATTATATTTTTCACGAGGCCAAACGAGCTGACAATGTAGGCTCTGATAGTGCAAAGTATGGTTGCACTATTATGAAAATATATGGTCTCCCATGTGCGTGTGTTATCGCTAAAAAAATAAAACTTGGAAAGTCAGTAAGAATGGAGGAGGTTTGCTCTCATTGGAAGAGACTTAGTTTCAATGATGATGGATGCATGGATGAAGGTAAATCGAATATCTCTATTTTGACCGAATGGAAAATGATGCAAGAGAGATTGTCGAAGGCCGATGACAACATGAAACTCCACATCAAAGAAAAATAGAGGAAAATTACCTATCCCAAAACCACATACATAAAATCGCCTTATCAACCGGTAAAAATAAAGGGTGCTCTAAAGAAAATGAAGCCTACACCGAATGATAACTCAAGTACACGATCTCTTTCATACTTGGAACACGTTGACAAAGTATTTCCCGACTCACCAACTCTAAAATCTCAAAAAAGTATTTTTAAAGAAGCTCGAATTAGCAAACCACCTCTGATGCCGCTTCCACCAAAGATTCTATTCATTGACGAGATATCGGTTTTTATGCACAAATATATCGCTCGTATCATCAATGTTGCAAGAGATGGTAATTACGATTACCGAGCCGTTTTTACTTTACTTGTTAAGGGAGAAGATAGTCATGCGCTTGTCCGTCATCAACTTATCCAAGAGTTGAAGACGCATAAGGAATCATACACGCGATTGTATGGAAAAAAGAAAATTTTGATGCGCTTTATGAGTCACTTGTTCCTTGCTTGAGCGGTCCGACACTGGAGTCAAAATAGATGAGCTTCCTAGATATGGGTCACCTAATTTCATAAGCATATGATAAGGTGTGCATTAACCTGACACGCTACGGATTTTCGAAAACCTTTTTCCCACTGGGCACCGCACCATCCCAAAATTCGAATGATCGCATCATGCGTATTAGATGGCTTTCAAAATCAAGTCATTTTTTCAAGTTTACTTGAAACTAGGATGCCCCATACCACCTACATCACCGGAATGGATGATCCATTCAACCGCAAATGCCGAGATGTGTCCGGATCAGTTTATAAAAAGGATGCAAGAATTTGAAAGATTGAATAACATTGAAAAGGAATCGAATGCACAAAATCAAAGGGGGTACCACGTATAGATTTATCCAGCGACACATGTTTTGATTCGTTTTTTTTGTAATCGGACAAATAATTGTATATAAGTGTATCTCAATATAAATGAAGTGTTACATATTCAAGTATTATTCATATTTGGTCTTTATGCATGCTTGGTTCATATTTGGTATATTATTTGGTCTTTCTCAACTCTGTCATATGATTCTCTTTTGAAAATGTATCAAGAAAAGTTCAGGAGATGTATCTCCCTAAGGTTATTTTATTTGCTTTGTTTTTTAATGGCTCATGGAAAGCTCCGGAGA